TTATATTTATATATTTATATATAAAAAGTAAATAAGATCCCAGCTCTTGCACGATTATTGGGCGATTGAAAAATGCAGCAAAAGCAAGCGACATTGGAGTAAAAGTATGCGCCAGGCAAGGAGGAAAAGGTCTTGTCAGAAGGTGGGGAAGGAGGCGAGGGGAAAAACAAGCACTTAGCCAGACACGTGCTCCAGGTTTGTTATGTCTCCCTGGGAAGAAGGACCTGCTCCTGAGCAGCCCCACTGATGCCACAACCTGGGTGGGCAGAAGCATGGGGCACTCGGGACACCATCCTTCAGCACGGCAACCTCTTTCTGCCAGGAGGTCCCCAGGAAGGTGATCATCTCCAAACACTGGGAGCTGCCAAAACCCCCAAGAGAGGCTGGGAAAGGGAGTGAAATCCCTAGGAAGACTCAGCTCTGAGACAGCTCCTACCTGGTAAAAAGCAGGATTGTTTTCTTTTGTTTTGTTTATTTCATAAAATCTCCCTGGGAACTTGGGTAAGGGGAGATGTGGAGAAACGCTGCCTTTTGCTTTTGAAAACAGAACTTAAGTAGTGGCTCACTGCAGTTGGGCCTGCTTGCCACATTCTATTTCTCTGTTTTCCATCCCAAAAGGAGCTTGCATCTCATTAGCTTCACACCTCCCCAGTCCCACTCTGCTCAGCGAGGAGAAAAGAGAGCATGAGACAGGAGGCTGCCACTCCAAGCTGAAGGCCATGGGAAGCACTGACAGAGCTCGACGGGCAGAGAGAGGAGAAGTTCCCAAGAGCAGCCCAGGCTATGGGAGGCAGAGACATCCGTCACCTGCCTCTGCAAAGCCAAGGGCACCAGAGAAGTCCAGACAAGAAAAGCTGTCCTAGCATCCCCTGCCTGCCACCTTCTGTTCAGACACCAACATCTGGTGAGTTCCCTCTTCTCTGCAGTCACTCCCACGCACCAGATGAATGCCCAGCAGAGACATCTTGGATGGAGAGGCTAGCACGTAAGAGCTGCCGCCTCACTTTGAAGAAGCATTCGGGCAGCTCTTCCCCACCACCTCACAGGAAGCTGGAGCAGAAGGCGGCAGCCCTACTCGAGCAGTCCTGTTGGGATGTTCCTCTCCGCTCCCCAAAACCTCCAGCATTTGCTGGCCTCAAGAAGAGAGTATGCCTCACGCAACACCTTCAGAGCACACAAGGCAGCTCTCTCATCTGCGTCTGAAGATCTGACCACTGTCAGAGAGGGGATGCTGGACGACATATAGATGGGATTCTGTTCTCTGTCCTGATGTGGTGAATCCTATATGGAAAAATGCCACTCTCCACCTGACACTGGAAGAGGCTAAGAGACCCTAAGGAGGGGAGGCGTATCTGCTTCCCAGGAGATAAGCCCACTGTGTTTTAATCCTGCTTGGATACGGGGGAAGGAAAAAGAGAAGAGACAGCAACTTGGCAGGAAAGGTATATGCCAACCCCAAATCTGAGCAGCTTGCTGTGCATGCAAAGTAAGTCAACTGTTTCCATAGTGGTGGCCTGATCCATATTCTGGCAGAACGCAACCGGCCACTTCTGAGGGCCACTCGGCCGCAAAACCACTTGGAGACTCCACCTTAGCTCACAGGAGAGGAATGGGAGGGAAGGGAACTCACTCCAACACTTGGGAGGCAAGGACGGGAAGGGTTTGTAGACAGGGTTCCTCCAACATGCAACTTGCCTTTTCAGCTCAGAGATCGCCGCTTAGTCCCAGAATGCCTTTCCTTCCAGTTCAAGCAAGCCAAACACCATCCCAGACACACATGCTTCGATACTACAAAATACTCTTTTCTCTAAGGACCATCTAATACCACTACAGTTTGTGCAATCACTGCATTTATTATTCATTTTTAAACTCTCTCTCTCTCTCGCTCTCTCCCTGTAGAAATTTTTTTTAAACTTTTCTTTTTTTATGCAAAACTAATCATTTCACTTTTTCCACTCCATCATAAAATCTCCTCTAAAAACACGACAACAAGAGAACAAACATGGCACAGACACAGAGAATATTTCCCTGTTGTTTTTTTTTTCCTAGGTGTTACGGGGAAGGGAAGGGGATACTTTCAAATATACTCCTCCCTCAATACCACACCCTTTTTAAAGGGCATGGATGGATCTTCTTTCCCATCTCCGTTAAGGAGCAAGGGCAAAAATTCAGAAGGAGGAGTGTAACCCACGTGAATACGAAGGTAGGTTAGTTAGCCTCAAGTGGCTTGTCCACTTGAGGGAACTTGAGGCTGCTGCCGCATTCAAGTTAGCAAACCTCTAACTCAAAGCAGCATTGGATCCTCATTTCGGATCCAGAGGTTCAGGGTTTGGTTCCCACCTGGTGACCCACCCAGGGAGAGATTCATCACACAAGCAGTCGAGCTGTGTCTGCAAGCCGGATCATACTCCTTTCTTCCTCCACAAAGAGGATCTACTGCACGAGTTCCTCTGTCACAACAAGTCCCCTCATCTCCTCACCACAGGAAGAAGGTCCTCATGGAGTATCCCTACAATGACCCACTGTTTTGCTCTTCACAGACAGTCCCCTTGCTTGTCACTCTGGAGAAAGGCAAAACCCCTTCAATTAAACAATTCCTGTCCCCTGCCCCAAAGAACACCATACAAGAGACACTGGGGAAAAGAATTCTGCCAAGCGAACACACACCTTGGCCAAAACACATCAAGAGTTTCCTATTAAAGTTCCCTTTTATCTCCCACTTAAACGCTTCAATATTTTTTTCTCAGAACCTCAATACCACAAAACAAAACACCAACACTTACACGCCAAACAGTAACTCAACAACCTAAAGTGACTGGCTGGTTTGGATCCACCCCACAAAGAAGCTCCTCTTATCTTGCAGCCGCAGAATAGTTCTTTGTTGAGAAGGGGGAAAAAAAAAAAGAGAAGAATCTCCTTGCTATTTCCCTAATAAAGAGCTTTTCCCTATGCCTACAAACTGCTCATCTTTGAAGCTGCAGTCAAATGGATAGGCTATGATAAAATAAGGGATCCCCGGGTGTGCCAGGCACAGAAAAGATGCAAAAAAAAAAAAAGACACAAAAAATACAGGCAGGTATTAATACAGACACACGCACAAGTCCAACAAGTTATAGGAAGCCTTAGCTTGGTGAATGGATTGGGGAAGTCTCTTTCTCCCTGCCCCTAGCTTCATCTGTGAATGCAACCCCATCCCTGGAGTCCACTAAGCTCTTTAACCAAGGAAAGAAAAAGACAGAGGTGTGCAAAGGGTGGTGCTAACAGCACCTAGAATCCCCCTCGGACTGTTGGCGCAGACATCGAGCTGCAACTGGTGCGAATTCACCATGCCCCACGGCTTTGAATTCCACCCGCTGCGAGGCAAGGCTTGTGGGGAGAGCGGCAAAGATTGTATTACACCAGCCGTGGCACTGGAGGCAGGGAAAAGACGAGCTCTGGGCACGGAAGCCCTAATTAAGGTCAGAAGCTGGTCTATTCCTCTGCCGCCGCGACGACGCCCCTTGGGCAGACAAATATTACCTCTCTCCCACAAAATGCCTCCCTTCTACCCTCAGACCACTGCAACCACAAAACCACTACTCCACACGAGAGCACTCCCTGGAGCCAGCAGCTCCTGAGAATCCTCGTGTGGAAGCACCAGAGGGGTCAATTCCACTCGTGTTTACCCGCCCAGGGCAGGTATGTAGGTAGGTGAGCCCTGGCGCGGGGAATCTTTTTTCCCCACCCTTTGCACCTCTGCAACATGTTATGTAGAAGTCACACTGCATCCCGAATATGGGGGACAGGGCTGAGAGGGTGAGGCTCTCCCACTGATTGATCAGCACCTCTTTTCCTTGCCCCTACAGGCTGAGCCCTGTGCAAGCAGGGGGAGAAGGGAGAGCGAAGGAACAGTATCTCACCGTCCAGCTTAGGACCCATACAGAAACGGAGCAAGCCAGAACTGGCAGGGGGAGTGGATGTGAACAAGGGTTGTCAGTGAAAGAGGGAGGTGTGGGTAAGGAACAGCAAGCTGTGGTCTTGCTCGCTCCCACTTTCTCAGGGTGAAGAGAAAGAATTTCTAGATCAGCTCACGGGAGCTCTGGGGGAAGAGATCCAGCACACAGGCATGTGACTCAAGAGAAAAGAGTTATTTCTTATTAGCACCTTTGGCTGACAGTTGTATGGGCTGTTTCAGATGCTGAAAGAGGGGAACCCTCTTTCAGGCCATCCACCTGGAAGGGAAGGCAGGAGAGATGCAGGGAAGCAAGAAGAGCAGACGACCTGCCTTAGCATCCATCCATCCCTCCCTCTCTCCCCCCTTCCGAGGGAGCAGAGGAAGCAAAAAGGGTCAGGGGAAGCCTACGTGCAAGGTGGGAGACCAGCCTCACCCTGTTGGCATATCTTCCCCCAAACTGAAGGATGGATGCATGGCCCACTCCCACTTCCACCACAGAAAGGCCAGGGAAGGGCATTTAATGCCTTTTCCCACAAGCAAGTGCAAGTGAGGAAGACCAGGAGGAAGATCTGGGCCAGAAATACACTTTGATTTTCTTCCCTTCCCCCTGCAAAGATGAGCAAGTTGGAAGATGCAGGGGAAGAAGGACCAGGCCACCTGAAAGCACCCATACAACTGCCAAGGTAGCACCAATAGTCAAAGGAAAGGGGAAGCCAATACGGGGTGTATGCTGCATGGGGCACCCCCCACCACCCCAGCTTTGTCTCAAGCACCTTCCAGGCATGACACTTCACCTGCCTCTCTCCCCCTCGCTCTGGGGGCACCTGGATCAGGCACTGCCATGACAACAGCAGAAGAGATGGCAGATCCAGGCCACAGGCCAAGAAGAGGAAAGATGGCAGGATCGGAGTCATGGCAAGGGAAAAACATAGGAATGGAAGAGACTGCATGCACATTGTGGGAAAAGGTTTGGAGGGCGTGGGTGAGGGCTCCAATCCTTTTCCATCCTCCCCTCAAGGGTCTGGAGCTCCTCTCCAGTTTTTGTCAAGGATGGAAGGGGGAGGAGGGGGAAGAGCACCTTCCCCACCACTCCCACAGGCACACAGACACATGCTCACCCATCCCTCATCCCCAAAGGCTCCACTGCCCGTTGGACAACACCACATTCAAGGACAAACAACCACTCCTCAGCCCCACCACGACCCTCCCTGCCTCTCCTCCCAGGAGCAGCGACACCCCGGAATGGTGGGTGCCCCCACTCCCCCCTACTGACATGCTCCAGCCTCCAGGCAGGAGGGAGTGGGCAGGGGGAAAGGAGGAGGAAAGGTGGCAGTGAGGGCAGAGGGACAGCCAAGGGGAGAAGGAGAGAACTAAGGACAGCCATTCGCACCACGACTTCTCACAGGAAGAGCTCCCCTCATGCCCCTGGAGCAGGGGAATCTGGCTGCTCACTTGCTGCCTCCTCCGCTGCCCGCCGCCACCTTCTCAAAATCCTCCGCATTGCAGAACTCCTTGATGGTGACGGTGAGGAGGTTGCTGGTGACATCCGTGACCACCACGTTAGAGCAGGGGGACATCTCGGGACGCCAGTCGCCGGTCTCCTGCTCCGGGTCAGAAGAGGAGAGGGACAAGGAGGGTGTCTGCCCCCCGCCACACCCTCCTGATGGAGAACGCTTGCTGGTGGCGGCTGACTCAGGCGGGATCGAGAGGTCGAGGACCTCTGACTCACGCCAGTCGGGGATGGCTGGGCTGAGGGTCTCAGGGAGCAGCTTCGGAGGGGAATCATCTGGGTCGGAGGAGGAGTGGGGGGCAGGTGATGGGCAGCCTGAGGAGCTGGAGCTGTGGGCATCATAGGGGGTGGAGCCCATAATGAGCCCACAAGAGGCTGCCTGGGAGCCTTCGGCCTCCCCTTTGCCCTCCAGGGAGGGGGCAGGTGCAGCGGACGGCTTATTGTAGAGTGAAAAGGCGCCGAACTTCATATGGCGGATCTGGGTGCGGAGGACGCTCTCGCTGAACTTTTTGCTCTTGCCGATGACACGGTTTCGGGATGGGATCTTGGGTCGAGCCAGGCCCCCGGCCCCGTTGGCTGGCTTCCCACCTTTTTTGAGGTTGAGGATGATGCGGCTGCGCTTGGGCTCGCGGGGTTTCACCTTACGGTTGATGATGCGGACGGTCTCCGAGAAGGGTGAGACAGGAGGACGGATGCCAACCCCGCCACCCACGCTCCCGCCATTCTGGGGGTCTGGACGGGGCAGGGGGCGCCGGGACATGCGGTGGCATCGCCGGATGTCTTTCTTGAGCCGGTGCACCGCGGCGCTGGAGTGGAGCTTGGGAGAGGAGGTGCTGGAACCAGGCTTGACAGAAAAGTGTACATCCCCAATGTGGAGGGCCTCCGCTTGGGCCCGAGCCTGCGGTGGTGGGGAGAGAGAAAAAAAACAGGGTCAGAGAGGCAGCCTAGGTGCAGCCAAATCTCAAGTCACCCATTTCTCACCTCAGGACAAGAATGCCACGTCCCATTTATACTCACGTTAATGACATGCACACATACACACCTATGGACTATTAAGAGCCACGGCACAGCCCCCATAGAAGCATGGGGCACTTTGACATCCTTTTTGGGCAGCTAATTACTCCCCAGGCAGTGCCTCTGTTGACACTTGCTTCCCCCAGGAGGAAGCTGCCATCCTCCAGCCACGTCCCAGGGTTACAGTTAATGGTTTCCAAGGCTCCCCCTCAGCCTTCATCAGCCAATGTGCACAACCCTCCACTGCCAGCCAAACAACCAAGCGTCCTCCTGGGCACTGGGGTTGTTAGTGTTGAGTCAGCATCCAAAATCACGTAGTAGTCCCAAGACAGGGAACTGTATCTGGGCCTCTAAGAAATAAGTATGAGACAAGGGGGAGAGGAAGACTAATGCAACCAGTTTGCTCTTCCCTTCCTGCATCCAGGCTTGTCTGCTCTGGAAAGCATAGTAGAAGGAGGTCTTGAGGAACACAATGGAGGCGGGTGAGGGTGGTCTGACAGAGCTGTTTCAGCTAAACACAAGAAATGCAGAGATCTGAAGCTCAGTTTTAAGTACAGACCACAAGAAAGTTGTATATCCTTACTCTGCTGTGGGAGCAAGGTCCAGTGTTTAAAGCTGGAGACCAGGCCAGCTAGAACTCAAGTGATGTTTAACTGTATCTCCAAAGAAAAGATTGCCTTGTCCTTTTGAACACCACACTTGTTTCAAATCTATTAATGAAATAGAGCAGGAACAGCACTGGTTCAACTGCTCAGTGCCAGCCCTCCCTGAGAGCCAGGGCAGGGGAATAAGACTTTTAAGCTCTTCTGGTGCTTGGAGATAGTGCCAAAACCTGCCCTGGCTCACGCACCAGAGACAGCAACATTTTCTGGCAGCAGGAACAAGTTTCATTGGTAAGCTGAGGCAGTATGACCTGAAGACCCTGTGGGCACGGAAACCCAGACCGTGTTCTTACATCACCCCTTGTCAGAGCACAGTTGCTTGTAGAGCTCAGCCTTCCACCCACAATCCACTCCTTGCCCAAACAAACCCCCTTCCTTATTCCCTCGCAGTGGTGGTCACAGGCAGAAGTCACCCAGGCCTGGAGGGGACAGGCGAGCCCCTCTCTGATTGCCCATCTAGTGAGCAGCTTCCCCCATCTTGTGGGCACAACAAGAACTGCAGTGCCAGAGGAAGACGGCTGCTTTTCCTCCCCAACTTTTCCATCCCGTTGCCCCCCAGCACACGCCAAGATCGGGATGGCTTCTTGCCAGCTGAGAGCTTAAGCACTCCGACACCATCTCCTTTGTCCCCCTGCAGGCTGTGCCTCCTACCAGAGAAACGCCTGGGGAAAAAAATGTGCGGTAAAGGCAGGGATCTAACAGATCTAAGCGAGGGGCCCAGGCCAGCTCTTGCACAGTAAGCTTAAAAGCCTTGGACCTACAACCCCAGAACTCTGCTGTCACCCGGTACTCCTCTTCTCCCACTGAGATCCCCATGGGAACCATAGAAGATCCTGAATGAGCAGAGAACAGAGACGTGAAGACATTTTGTTCCTCCCTGGCTAACGCCAGATCATGCCTTGCAATCCTACTTGTATCCTGGCATTAGAAGACTGCAAAGATGAGGCCTCCTTCCCCTGGCTGTACATGAAAACGCAGATCGAAGGCTCATCTGCACCAGGGACTCCAGACATCCGTATTAGCCAACTGACAAAGAAACAGGGACAAGTAACACGACTGTCAAGGAGGGCATAGACACTCTCCACACTAATCCTGGGCTGTACAGTGCTGTTTCACCAAGCTAGAAGGAAGCATCCTCAGCACAGACAAACCCCAACACATCCTTCTGTAGCAGGAAGCATCCCAGTGTCCAGCTAGTTTCTCTCCGCTCAGCCTCATGTGTTACTCCATGCCCCAAACTGTTCAGAAAATGAACAGACACAGCTCCTGTCCCAGGCATCCTACAGGCTAGAGCACAACAGGAGCACCGGATGAACTCCCTGCATCACGCAGCAACTCTCCCCCTCCCATCCCAATGATCCACAATTTAAGAGACCCCCCCAGAAGGTCACAGGCACAGACAGATGCACATCTAGGGCTGTGCTCGGTCTTTCTCTTCTCAGGTCCCTCTGAAGCAGATGGTAGACACCAGGACAAGCTACAGTTTGCTTTCTGACATTACATACCAGCACAGCCTGGATTAGCAATTTTGTTCTTCCTTTTCCCCACAGTTTCCCACCACAGCCAGCCCTTCCAGCATTGCTGCTCTCATGCTTTGGGCTTCTCGCCAATTTACCACTGCTCAGCAGAGAGCAAAGTGCAACACAACCTCCCGTTCCAAAACACAAGACAGGGAAGCCACGCTGAGGGTACAGACAGACGTACAGGTCAAAATCCTCAATCCACAGCTGCAGCTGATGGACACAGTCATCCTTCAGGGCCTCTCCTGCTGCCAATACCGCATGTCTCCTAGATTAATTCCTTATCCTGTAATCATGCCTCAGAGTGAGTTGTTCTGCCCACTCTGTGCCCCTCTGAGTCCAGTCTAATTGCCACCTGCCCGCAGCACTGCCTTCCATCACCGATGTGAGAAAGAAGCAGACCTCTCCCCACATCTCCCTTGAGCCACAGCTGCCTTACACATACCAAAATTCCTCACCAAAGCTTCCCATCAACCACATTAAATGAAAAGCGATAATGCTGGGATGGTCACTGTCCAGCCACTTCCATAGTCCCGCTGATTTTACTTTCTCAGCCTGTGCACATTAATCAGCTCCTGTCCTGTTCTGACAGAGAGACTCGTTTTGGTTTTGCATTTACACAGTGGCTAGCAGAGCCCTGGTCTGTGGCTACAACTTTTCCTGTGTGCCAGAACCACTACGTCTCCTTTACTTGCCATGTGTCTGCGTTTCCAGTTACTTCTGGGGCACCTCCTCAAAGCTGAAGCAGTTTCTAACTCATGTTTCAGCTCTCTGCATTTATTAAATTCTAGTTTCAGTAGTGTCCCGGTAGACTACATGCACCATCAACCTCTTTGGTCAGATTATTAAGAGAGCGGGTAAGCTGGAACCCAGCAGTCCTCTCCAGGTGCTACACTGCTGTCCCCAGTGACCAGCTTCACACGAGCTCCAAAGAACAATATGCAAATATTGCGCTTACCTTGAGCTTGTTTTTCCAGGTAAGGTTTCAAGAAAAATAGTATCAGATGCTTTATCTAAGACCAGCCCCCAGAGTCCTCTCACTTGCAAAGCTCAGTATTCCTACCACAGGATCAGGTTTATTCAGGCATCGACTACACAAACTCAAGTCTCTTCCCTGCAGAGCACAGCACATTTTCTGGGCTCCCCTTCTCCTGCTTCCAACTTTACATTAAGTAACTTCCTACCTCTGGTTTGGAGAAGACTCAGCATTCAGTTTCATCTGTCAGAAATGCACTTCCCCCTGTTATGGGTCCACTACTCCATCACCCTCATGTGCCATGTGAGCATGAGGTCTTTGAAAAACAAACCCATTTATTCAGTTTTATCTGTCAGAAATGCACTTCCCACTGTTATGGGTCCATCACCCTCATGTGCCATATGAGCATGAGGTCTTTGAAAAACAAACCCATTTAAATCCTTTCAGCTGTGTCACCACAGTTTTCTACTTAGAAGTTTTCCAAATGGAAACTACCTCTCTGGGTTTTGCTGTTTGCACCTGCAGGATTTGCTCACTGCTGAAGAGGTACTCAGCATGTATACAAAGTAATTCACTCTCTGCTTACAGCTCAGCCTACATCAGGACGCAGCTTCTGGAGGTTTACTGCAGTGCTCTGTCATGAGAGCAAGGCAACTGCTAGGATTGCTTCCCTCCCCCCCTTCCCATCTGGGATATGTATCACCTTTATTTAGCTTGTACAGCTTTCCCTCATTACCCCTGGGAACTAGTATATCTCCCCTATTCCCTACTATTTCTGAAAAAATGTCCCTTGAGGCCCAGCAACTGTATTTGTTCATTCATTCCCTTAACGCACTGAGGCACACAAGCACGTACACGGACACGTGCTTAGAAAAGCCTCTCTTACCTGATTTGTATCAAAACCTCTGTAATTTGGAAGAAAAAAAAAAAAAAGACGACCGAAAAAAGGCCTTGTAAGGCAACAGATTCCTAGTTAATTATTTCAAAATCAAGTCATTTCCAGTAGCGCTGCTGCACCATAGTAGCACTACTCTCTCATAAATTACTGGTTCTGCTTTGTCTTTTATTCTCCACCTGCATTCCCACAGTCCTTGCTCCAAACAGCATTCGCAAGAGCTCTTCTTTCCCCTTTTTGGCTGCCATTCTGCCTTTTTATCGCCCTCTTTCTTCTGCAGTCTTCCAAGTGACAAGGCAACAGCAAGCCAGTTCATAGCACAGTTCTCCCAAGCAACGCTGCCATAAACTACAGTTTCCCTACTGGATGGGGAACAAAACGCTACAAAGGGGAATGGTCTGTTTTCAAACCGCTTGGGGATAATTTACGAACAGGGAGGAGATCAAAAGAAACCCAACTCCAACTTCAGAGTTCAAGGAAGGGCGAAGTGACAGAACACCACGCTGCTTGGCCCCTTCTTCACCGCCCTCCACCCCCAAGACTCTCCCTTACTTCTTCCTCCCCATTAAACTCCTCTAGTCTTTTCACCTTACTATTTACAGCCACCCCAACTAGGGGTCTTTGCTAGCCACCCACTGAGCTTGCAGACCAGGCTCTGTGTCTTAACAGCACTTGCTAGACTTTATTAGATTAGCTGGCGAGTTTTGCATTCCTCTCAGTGGAGTGCTCAGGAAAAAAGCAAAATAAAAAAGCTAACGGAGAAGGGGAAAAGAAGGAGATCACTATAGCACGTGCTATGTCTCTTTCTAACCTTGCGCTAGCTTCCATTCTGACCTCCAGCTGAAGGGCCTGTCCCCAAGGACGACTTCTGCCAGACACCTGAGTAGTAAGGTAAGAGGCTTACGTACAGCGCTGCCCATTTCAGACCAAGGACTCTGCTTCCCATACGCTCAGCACAAAGTTTGCAGCATACCAGCAGCCTCCCAAGAATTACAACCCCCCGCCAAGCTTGATCTCAGCAGCTGTGGGAAAGTTTGCCCCTAGTATGCAGATCATAAAGACCCATTTCCTGCCCAAAACTCTGCAGTTGAAGTTTGCAGGGGTCACTTTCAACGCCAGCCATCTTGATAGCGATATTACAAAGCCTGGACTGTAATCTTCCATTGCAGTCTGATCGAAAGGGCAAGTGTTACGACAGCTCTCAGCACCACGAGCCTGGCTTACAAAGGCAGCAGGTGGCCAAAGATGCAGCTTTTCAAAGCTTTTCCAAAGGCGTGGGCCACTAACCTGCTGGAATGCTTTCTGCAAATCCCCCCTAGTGCCTATCTGCAGCTTTTGAGAACTAATCCCAGGGTAAACCAAGCCCCAACTGCAAACTAAAACACCCACACGAGCCAGGGGACTGTTGTGGTGTACCAGGATGCTTGTTTCAATGCCTTACTGAAGACTCAGAAGCCTAAGTTTAAGCACAGATGCTAGGATTTTTCCTGTGTAAGCCACCGAGTTGAGAGCAGACTAGTTTACCAAAGCAGTCCTAGGCCAGACTCCCACTTAACCGTCATTGCATCCAGGCCTGATCTGTTCAGTTAACAGATCAAAAAGAATACTGTTCTAACTGCCAAGTCCAAAGACTCCCTCTGGGATGCAAGAGTCAAATTTCCCCCCCTGCTTCCGAAATTCTCACTGGCAAGAAATTCCACAGCTGAAAGAACCAAAAACATCATTAGGGATGCGCGAGGCAGAACAGAGTCCCGCTCCTCCCGCAGCAGCGCCGGTGCTGCAGGGTGAGCAGAGGTCAAGCCCGCATCTTGGGCAGGTTGGAATTGGCTGAGAGATGCGTACGACACAAACCGTCGTGCTGGTCTTCGTCTCGTCTCCAGCCGCAGTTGCGTTGCTAGTGGTTTGCCTGAACAGAGCTCAAACGAGTTCAGATAGGGCTCACTGAGATAGGGTTACTTCTTGCTGCGTGGCCTGGGGCGTTATTTTTAGGGTAGGATCAGAAGTCACAGAAAAATAGTAAGTCAGAGCGTTAACAGTTTCACCAGCTCAAATCCCCACAGCGGCAAACAAAGTGGCAGGGGGAGGGCGGCCCCCTCCCCTGCCAGCCTCTCCCACAACGTGGCACCAGCCTTCAGGAGAGCTCATCTCGCTCCCTATCGCGACCCATCTTCTACAAAGTACCGAGCCAGCTCCACAAACCTACAGGTTTACAGTAGCATTTGAGAAGCTGGCAGAAGAAAGATGCGCCACAGAAACGTGTCAGGGACGTGACTCAAAGGATGCTGTTGAATAATTCAGGTTTCAAGTTTAGGGGGGGGGGCTTAAAGGGCAGGGGGAAAAGAGGAGGAATGAGCGGATTTTATTTTTGAGTTTGGGGGTTGGTTCTGTTTTTTTAAAGGAGTGAAAAATTGGCAGTGGATTTTGCTGTATCACGTTCAGAATCAAAAAGAAAAGAAACTGATTACACGCAGTAACGTTAAAAGCACAGCATAAACACTTCTCTACTGCTCTGAACAATGTCAGGTGTTACAAATACCAGTATTTTTTAATTCAAGCAGAGAACTATTTTAAGCTGGTGGTTTCCCTTTAAGCGTTCCTCTGCATTGTTAGAAACCTAAACACAAGGGTTTCATTTAACGCATGACTGCCAGAAAGAGAAAAACCAACTAGTCTAGTTTCCTTGAATAAAGAGTAAGAGGTAGTACACATCAGTTATGTTTGTAGTTCTCAGTCTGCAGATACAGAAAACTGTTAGCAGAAAAACAGGCAACGCGTAAGGAGGATAGTTCCATCAGCAGGGCCTTCCGAGGATTACTACGGTTCCCTGGGTTTTACTCGGAGCACCAGAAGACACCTGTTCCCACATTCCTTCCGTGTGCTTCATTATGTGCTCTTCAAGCAGAGGAGAGGTGACACCCTACCCCTCACCACTCCTTCCGGTGCTCACACAGTTAAAGTGCTGCACTGACTTGAGTAAAGCTCCTACCACTGTCAGGCAAAGGAAAGTATTAACCTCTTTCACAGATGGGGAAACACGCACAAAGGCTAAATGACTTGCCCAAAGCCATGGGATGACTTAGTGACAGCGATGCCTTACCACAGGGTCCACCCTGGCTGTTCCAGGCTGTGAACTCCCTCACCTGTCTTAATCGTAACAAAGGTGCGTTGTGTTTCTACTTTCATTTGAAGTCTGGGACTGAGCTAGTTGGAAAGGGAGAAGAGAGGAAGAGGGGAGCAAAGCAAGGAGTTTTGTCTCTAGACTAATAAATCCACAGAGCTCCCATAGTGGTCACACAGCTACCAGATTTCTTAATTAAAAAAAGAAAGTAAAAAAACTGGCGAGCCTACACTAGGGACCACCTTCCTCGTTCATCACTGCAAGTAAGCACAGATACTACGACAGTATCTTCTTGCAGAGATGCTGGGTTTCTCAGAGGGGAACCGAAAACTTCAACTGCTATCCTACGCAGAGGTGATACATTCCTCCTTCCTCTCACCCTCCTCCAAAAAAACAGTGAAACAAGCCTGTAGTTTACAGATCAAAACATGAACATTTCACCAAACTCCTGTGGAGCACCTACATCCTGAAACATGATCAGAGGAGCACAAGCGGCAGCAGGACTCTTGCCACAGCTGCCCGATTGATCAGCGTGCTGCTAAGTTGCAGGGCACAGGCTGGACAGAATAGGCTGCTGAAGGAAGAGGGAGCAGGGCTGGCTAGCTCTCCACTGCGGCAGCAGAAGGCTATAAAGAGGGAGAGGATATTGGAAAAAGAGATTGCAGCCTCACCATGCACATACGCATGTACCGACCGTTCTGCTGGGGCACCCATTGCACGCAGACATGCTCTGCCCTCACATGCTTCTCTGTCCCTGCCTCCCACCCACTTTCCCGTTGGGTTGTCCCCATGTTCCCAGAGCCAGGCAGCAGCCATAAGTCACTCGAAAGTCCAGACCTTCCAAGGGCACACACTGGCGAGGTTTAAGAGACATTTGGCTAGGCCTAAGTTATTTAAATAAGAGTTACCTTCAGAAGAAAAGTTTTAGGCTTAGGTCCTCTCTTCTTGGGCCCGTACAGCTCACGCTCTCGTTCCCTTTAGGAAGTCAAATTCGTCAAGAAGTTAAAACTTTTCCCAAAGGGAGAAACCAAAGCATACAAGTTAAAAAAA